ATCTAACATACAGAAATAAGCATACTACCAAAGTGGGCAGCCATGTGTTCTCTCTCCCCTCTTGCAGCAAGTTTGGTGATGCTGCTACTGTACCAACCTCTCTAGAAGCAAAGGAAACTCCTTCCTTTACTTTTATTTCCCCCCCAACTTTTTCTTGGTAGCAGTTTCCCACTGCCGATGAGGGCCAATCCAGTTCATCTGCAGTTGCACAATAAAGAAACCTGAAAAAGCAGGCAGCTAGCACAGGAGTTAGAAGCACACAGTATTTGATCAGATATAGGAAAAAAAAACACTTTTTCCTCATTTCTCTTGCTTCCCCAAATCTGCCAGACTGACAGTTGAGTCACAGGGAAAGAGGAAAAGATTTTTCATCAAGTTATTTAAAACATGGGTTTAGTTAACACTCATTTAGCACAGAGCTGAAGACACACTTGAGAAAAAAAAATACATTTTTAACTTCAGAGTGCAAACTTTTCCACTTAATATGCAAGAAAGCTGTCAAGACGCATCGTTCTCAAAAAATAAAAATAAAAAACCCCACATTGGTTTTTTTTTGTAGTACTTTACAAATGTCAAGAAAGTGATAATATCCACTGTTTTAGACTTTATCTTTTCCCTTGCTTTGCAGGGCTCTTTTAACATCCTCCAATTCTGGATTATGTCCCCACCTTTTTATAAAGGTGGTATTTGTTGCCCAAAAGGCACTACTCAAGCAAAGAAAAAAAAAAGATGGTTTTAGAAAGGTTTTGCCTCTTTCTACACAGAATAAAGATTTTATTTACCACAATAAACTACAAAAAGATTCCAACAACAAAGATTTCAGCAAAACACAAAAACTGTGGAAAGAGGTACACTTACGGATGCAAAACAATGACATTTTCAAAAACAAGGATGGCAATTGCATGGAGGTTTTCTGTATGTTTTATTTAAATGGATATTACTTTAAACCACAATAGATTAGAAGTGCATCTCATTTTAGCAATAAATCAGAATTTTTTTTTTAATGCGATAGTATAAGCTCAAGCATTATCGTGTTCCTGTTCATAGACTAAGCCTACGCAACTGAGCAGGGCAAACTTGTAGGTGGGCATACTTTTTCCAGCTTTTCCTAAGCTTCTTCCTATTGGAGTAAACCAAAACAATTCTGCATTAAACCAAACCAAGAGTTCCTTGGGGCCTTCCCCCCCCCCCCAATTCATTTCAGCTAAATTCCAAAAGAGCAGCTTAAGTCTAAAGGTATACTTTGATCAAGTTGAATGCATCCTTACACCTGAGCTAGCTGAGTGGGAGTACTCAGATCAAAAGGGTCAAAGGGTTTTCCTTTTATAGAAAGAGCATGACAGAAGGTGCTGAACATTTCTGACTGTTGGAAAAAATAAAGTCAACAGGTTTTACACATGCTTTTTCTGATGAGGGGGAAAAGACAGAAAACATCAAAGAACCCACTGCACAATTATTCATGTCTTCCCCTAAGGAATGCAAACAGCACTCAGCCACCTTTCCCTTCCTGCAGTGAACATGAATCCTCATCAGCAGGAGCAAAGTGATAAAACCATGCAGATTCCATCCTCCTGCCTGGCAGTCACAGCCCAGCTCACCGCTGACAAGAGACAGGGAAGGCTTGCCAGCACCAGCTGGATCAGGGAATGACAAATCCTATGTAAATTATTTCCTGCCTCCACTCAGCAAAGCTATAGCTCCTTTCCAATGGGCTGCAAGACAGTCAGAAAAATGAAAGAGTTTCCTAAGCTTGATAAGCTCCTCTGTAACTAGAACTAAGAAGAAACAGAGAATAAGCGGACACATCCTCCTTTGTAGGAATTCTGGTACTGCCCTTTGCCATTACAGGCAAAGGATGGGACTTCATCTTCTCACCACTCACTGATGCAAAACCCACAGTAGCTAAAACTTCAGCACTCCATCAACAGGACAATATCAGGGGCTTTCACAGCGAGGAACATCATAGAGATAACCTGGGCATGCACACACATTGCTGTAACATGCACATAAATGAAAATGGCAAATCAGCTGATAAAATAGCATCAGAACCTGGAGTGCTGTTGTGAAAGGATGCTCACAACTCCTTGAGCCCTAGCTATGCCTGCTATCACCAAAAGTTGGTGCATTTTTGCTCTTTTTCTTTAAAATTTGAATCCTTAGTCATTTACTGCGCTTGTTCCCTCAGTGGTGGGCAGGGATTCTAGCTTAACTTTATATGCTACAATCTGCCCCGTTGAACTCCATTTACAAAAATAATAAAGAAACAGCACTTACCCAGCTGGGAAGAAACTAGCCAACTTTGCTTTTATTTAAATAAATCTTGCATGACAGACTGTCAGAAGTGTTTGACTTTTATTTAAAGCATTTTGCTGTTCACATTACGTATCCATTCCTCTGTTCAAGAAAAAAAAAAAAGCTTGACTCTTCTGCAGCATCTTCCATCTGGTAAACTAACAAGAGGACAACTATACTGATCATTCTTTTTTCCAACCATCCAATTATCAATACTTCTATCAGCATACACATTGTAATCGCTAATAAGGAGAAACTGTGTGCCAAAATCCCACTTCCAGTATTTCCAGAAGAGGTCATCTAAATGTTGTATTGCCACATTTAAATTCATCCAGCAGACATTATACACCATTTACAACAGCTTCCATAGGTATTTCTTCAAATAGAGCACTAAAAAGCTTGACTGAAAATAAAAACGGACTTAATACAAAAACATTCAGGCTTTTTCCAGTGCCTAGGCCGCTTTGGACATAACAGCCAACCAGAAGCTTACGCACTTAAAGTTACATGACAGCTTTGTGAAGCAAGGCTATCCAACAAGCCACCATCAGGACTATCCTTGGCGCATCTACCTCCCTGTCTTGATTAGCACCGTACTATGTGCTCCTGGTGAAGGCCATGACTTGAGCAGCTCAGGTCTGCACTTCCATCCATGAGTTCAGCATCAGACACCCACTCGCAGCCCAGCACACTCACAGCTGCAGGAGAGAAAAAGGTACCACCCTGAGGAACAACTCAGCAGAATGTGGTGCACACATGCAGGCTGATAACAAGCTCACTGAATCATACAGGCAGTGGCTATATTTTTTTCTTATCCCAAAGGCAATGCTACCAATTAAAGCCAAATGCGTACAAGCTTTGAGATGTCTGAAAAAATAAAAGCAGAAAATCTTGTCATACAGCCCAGACTGCCAAACTGACATAATTTAAGGCATTCCTCAAATTATTCCAAAGAACTGAGAGCCATGGACTTGTATAGAACTGAAACAAATGCAGTCCTGCCAGGGCAACCATGAGCTGCACTAGTGAGTGGGACTACCAGCTGAACATGTATCCTGGTAAACACTGAATGCACTACATGTCTACTGCAGGCTCCTTCTGAAACAGGGTGTTCCAGGCAACTCTACTTAATAACACGCTGCTACTTCCAGATAGCTGAAACAGTTTCCAAAAGAAAGATGGATGAATAAATAGCAGCATTCATTTTCTCCAGCAAAAACCAAAATTACCGATCAAGTAATCCATCTTAAAAGTTCCTTGATTCTGCTCACATGTTCAGTAAGTCAGCAACTAAACAGTGAGAAAAGCTTACAGCATCTACAGCTTGTCCCTCCTAACAGGGTGTCTTCTCATCTTCTCAGCATCAATACCCAGATAAGGAATTCAAGGGTTTTCTTTCATTGTGGGGTTGGGAAAGAAAAAGAGTGCTGTAAAAGACAAAGTAAGAAAACCCTTGTTAAAACTCTGAATTAATCACTTAATCTTTACTACTAATACAGCTCTCCAAGTGGTTCTGTAATGAGTATATTCAAGCTCTCAAAGGATCAGGAACCAGGAACTCCTTATGTGTAAATCCTCCTCCCATAATGACTGTCTCAATGCAATAAATCACCAGCTGATGCACAATCCGCAGCCAGTCTTCCCCATTTTCTCTCTTTTCACAGCATTCACGGCATACAAGACGTGACTCCCCAAAGCAGTGCAGCTCCGCTACTTAATGACCATGCTCAGCCTGGAAGTCATAGGGAAGCACTCCACATATCTGAGCCTGCACATGTCTTCATCAGTGAACACACTTCCAACTGGAGCTCACTCTCTTCACTGGTATAAGGAGAACTCCTGGCTCAGCAAACACATGGACTGAAAGCGCACCTTACAACAAGCATTTTAAGTCCCTTAATTAGGAGAACTTCAACTACCAGTAAACTACTGCAAACTGCTCTGAATGACTACGCATCCTCCTCCTCAACTATCTGTTCGATAATCAAAGCCTTCTGCAAAATGTTCACTTAAAAGCATACCCCTCAGCTCATGCTGTGTTAAATATTAACTAAGACCATGTGGAAACTGCAAATGGATTTGAAAAAGAGAAAAAAAAACAGCAATGCAATTTCAGTTAATAGGCAGCGTGGAAGTGAGTGCACAGTGCAGAAGTTTCAAATGCCAGACACCCTCGGGAACAGCCAGATCAGTTATCTGAACTCACGGCGCTCCGTTTCTGGGTGTCCTTGTCCTACAGAACACAACTTAAATCGTTTTCAGTTGTAATTTCTCATTTACATCTTACCTAAAAGCCTACCTTAAGCTTCCGAAAATAAACACATAAAGAACGCTAATCTACAGACTCAGATGGCAACAACACTCCAGATTGGAAGAAGAAAAAAAAAAAAAACACACCACCACAAAAGACCTCATTAAAATCAGAATTAAAAACTCGAGTAACCAGGCTCCGCGCAAAGCGGACGGAAGGGCTCAGCGCTGGCACTGACAACCACAGCGCAGCCCGGCAGCCGGCCGCGCACTTTCCCCGCGGGCGCCCGCAGCTCCTCTGCACGGCTCCAGAGCCCTCAGGTCACGCCCAGCCCCCCTGCCCCGCGGGCTCCTCGAGGGCCGCCGGCGCCTCCCGCCTCGGCCTCCAGCCCCGCGCCGCGAACTGGCGCGCGATGCCTCCTTCGTGCCCGCCGCGCCGCGGGGTCTCGGAGCCTCACCTCCCACAGCAGTGACAGCAGCAGCGCGGCTCCGGGCTGCAGGCGCCTCATCTCGCCTCGTCCTCGCCGCCCCCGCCGCCTCAGACGCGTACGGGCGCGGTCAACAGCGCCATGCCGCCGCCCGGGGGGGGCTCGGGCGGCACGAGGGGGAAGACGCAGCCGGCGGCTCGGGAACGCGGCACCGCGCGGAAGGACGGCGAGCCGGGGGCGGGCTGACGGGCGGCACAGGGGCAGAGCCGGCAAGCGGTCCGCGGCGGGGCAGGAGACGGGGAAGCCCCGCAGCAGAACAGGCGGGGGCGGGCTGACCAGCCTCTCCACCCACAGGCGGCTCCCCGCCGCGGGGCCGCGGTCAGAGCCGGGCGGGCAGCGCTGAGAAGAGAGGCGGCGGACGGCGTGGTGCCCGGCCGGCGGTACAAAGGGGGCCGGCGCCGCCGCGGCGGCTGAGGGCGGGGAGGAGGCGGTGCCCGTCACGGCGCTGCCCCGCTGTCCGGCCGCTCGACCCTATCTCTGCCGGGGGCGGATGGGCCGTAGGGTTACGGCGGTGCAGCCTGCGGAGCGCTTAATAGCCACGCGCTTCTCAGAGGAGATCAACCCCCGCGCAGGTGGAGGCGGTGTCCTGCGTGTTAGCGAGCACGGGGGGGGGGCTGCGGTCACAGAATCACAGATCACAGAATGGCCTGGGTGGAAGGGACCTCAAGGACCATGAATCTCCAACCCCCCTGCCACACGCAGGGCCACTAATGTCCCCATTTAATACTAGATCAGGCTGCCCAGGGTCCCATCCAGCCTGGCCTTGAACACTTCCAGGGGTGGACGGGGCATCCACAGCTTCTCTGGGCAGCCTGGTCCTGCACCTCACCACTCTCTCTGTAAAGAACTTCCCCCTGACATCCAACCTAAATCTTCCCTCCTTCAACTTAAACCATTTCCCCTTGTCCTGCTGTTGCCTACCCTTTCAAAGAGTTGATTCCCCTCCTGTAGTTTTAGGTACTAAATGAGGTACTAGTTTTAGGTGCAATGAGGTCACCCCGCAGCCTTCTCTTCTCCAGGCAGAACAAGCCCTGCTCCCTCAGCCTGTCCTTGTAGAGGAGCTGCTCCAGCACCCTGATCATCTCTGTGGCCCTCCTCTGGACCCTCTCCAACAGCTCCCTGTCTTTTACTGGGGACTCCAGACCTGAACACAGTACTCCAGATGGGGCCTCACAAGAGCGGAGTAGAGGGATATAATCACCTTCCTGTCCCTTGCTGGCCATCCCTCTTCTGATGGTTGCTGCCATGATGTGACTGGTGTGGTGGGGACTGGCCGGACCAGGGGACGGCAGCTCCTGGAATTCATGTTGTGGGAGGCCAAGAGTGCACAGCAGCACACAGAGGCCCTGAGGAAGAGGAGGAGGAAGGAGACTGTACCGCCTTACGGATAGGGAACAGGAGCTATGTGGATGGGCTTTGCACCCACATCATTATGGAGTGTGCCTTTGGCTCATCAAAGAGGCTGCGTCCCCATTGTCATCTTTCATGTGCTCGATTAGTTACCAACAGCCCTGGCCACATTCTCAAGAAGATGTCAGGAACTGCTTTGAGCATTGTCACGTACATTGAGCCCTGTAATGCATGGCCAGTGTAGTTATGTCATGGATGTTTATTTCACTGCCATCTTGTTGAGGTGTTTGGAGGCTCCTTTTCCAAGTCCATTCCCACCCTTACCACAGCTAGTCCTGGCACTGCTTCAGGGACAAACAGCTGTTCTTCACATTCAAATGAGACTAGAATTTGCCATGTATCTTAGTGTTGCAAAAGAACTAGCATATCCCTTGGGAGGATATGAAAGGGTATGAAGAGGGACTTCCTGTTGCCATCTGAAATAACAGACCTTTCCCAACAGCATTTCTGAAGGAGGTGTACACTCCCATGGTTCTTTTGTGGGCTAGCTATTCAAAGATGATGAGCATGTCCTTGCAAGGCACAGCTCCTTCTTCATCACAGACTTAAAGGAAGGAACTTGCCACCTCCTGATGCCAGGTGGCTCAGCAAAATATTATCAGGTGAGTATTTTTTTCTGTTTAGTCAACTTTCAGGCAGTTTGCAGAGGCTTCCAGCTGGCACATGTTAATCATTCACAGGTCACACTTATTTATTTCCATGGAAGTATAACAGATGAAGAGTACAATACCACTATTTGACAGAGCAAATTCTCTGCTTTTTTTTTTTTTTTTTTTTCCTAGCAGAATCACCACCATTACCTATGCATTGTCAGCAGTGATGAGCCTGCATATTGTGCTCATAGAAATCTGCATGGCCACGTGCAACATGGCTTGTCTTCCACATTGCTGTTGCTACTGCTGAAATGCACCGCCCACCACCTTGTTGTGTTCAAATCCACTGTTTGATCTCCATAAAGTTCAGTAAATGTTGATGAATGTCAATGTGTATCATTTTTACCACACGAAGGAATTCAATTCCACACTTTTGTTTCATAATGCGCTTCCATGTCAGATGCAATGTAGTTAGTCTGCCTCTCTGCTGCCATCTGTGACATGGCAACAAAATGCAACAGAATGTTGGTGGAAAGGTTCAACCTCAACTGCCCTACCACCAACATCTGCCTCTGATGTTGTGGACCACCATAATAAAATAGTACACATAACTTTTCAGGCAGCCATCATACATCCTCTATACCCTCTATATAACAAGTGCCTGTAGACTAAGGACCTCCCACACGCTGCATGACATTGTGCACTCACAAGCAGCCTGTGCACATTTTATCTAAATGACCACTGTTTCTCATTTTTCCATTGAGACATTTGTTTATCTTTATTTGATGCCATCCAGTCCAAAGCTGTGAGGCACATTTTTTAGATGAATACACACATCTCAAACTGAATTTGCTAGAAGATATCTAAGAAGATGTGACAGCCATCACTTTGCCCAGCAATAAAGGCTTGGTGAGGTAACTTTTGAGTGGTACACACAAATCTCTATAAGGTCTGATGAGTTGGAAAGTCCCATTTTATTTAACCTGTGTTATAGAGAAAGACACATTGTGTATCAGGTATCATCTAAGATAAGTCAGCTCACGTTGTCATGACAAACAAACACAAAGTTGGGAACCACTTCAAAAATGTTACACTGCATGGAAGTTTGAAAAGGATATATGCATCGTTTGTTTTCAGGTCTCTACCCCGACAGCTTTTACACTGAACTCCCTTTCCACCCCTATTTTCTGTGTTTCATGACCTAAGTAGCAGTCTTCTGGGGTCACACAATACTTCCATCTGGAAGCACCAAATGAGCTGTGCTGAACGTGAGTGCCCTGTGCTGCTGCTGCTGGCACAATTTCTTGCAGGACTTTGGAAACATGAAGGCAGGAAGTAAAGTTAGGAGAGGAATCTGGGATCTTGTGGCACTGTGTGTGATAGGCACTGTGGTCATTAAAGGCCAACTCTGCCTGCACTTTCAGCTGATGGCCCCAGGTATGCCTAGGCAAGAGCCAGGTATCAGATACACATCAGTTAATTATGAACACATATAACCCTTCTGAGTTAATGCTGAGATCCAAGAAAGCATTAATTTTCTTTTTTTTTTTCTTCCCCAGGAAAAGGAAGGTTTCAGCTGAGGCAAAAAAGAAAGAAATGAATATTGTTGGGTTTGTTTATTTGTTTGTTTGTTTGTGTGTTTTTCCCCAATGACCAGATTAGTTACAGTGAGATAGAGGTAACAGGAAGGAGGAAGAGAAAGCCACACAGTCTGGAAGCATATGTCTTCCTGTGCATATATTATCCAGCCTATATAAGGGCATGGATGTCCTAACTACAGAATTCTTTCTAGGCCAAGAGATAAACTGAAACAAGAAGAGCACCTCCTGACTCAGGCATAAATGGTTCCAGATTTCATTTTGGCCATATCTCTGCTCCCTTAAGTGATGTCTTCTCTCATTTCTGCCTAAACTCGGGGAACCATCTTCATCTCTGGGGAATGACCATTAGCTTTAGTGGAGTTAGAGTACAAACAGACTTAGCCCAGAGTGTGACATTTTCTCAGCTAAAGTGCAAGTTGTAGCAGAACCCCTTAGAGTTCATCTAGACTCTGATGAACACTTTCCATCTGCCATGTACAGCTAGTCAGCGAAGCAGGCAGGGTACACACTGTGTTGTTTTGATGGAACAGGAAAATGAGATAAGCTTTTTACTGGAGGCCAGGTCTCTGGGTGAAAAAAAAGCCCCTCGTTCCCCAGTCTGATTTTAGTCTTTCTTCTGGTACACTGTTCTAATAGTAATACACCTAAGTGCCCAGGAGCTATGCATAGAAACAAATAATCTAATTCCATGATCAGCAACATTTATGAAGCTTTATTTTATCTCATCAAGGCTTACACTCCTTTCCTTTGTGGATTCTTACACATTCCCTAAAAATACTGCAATCCTTTGTTCAGTGGAGGTACCAATAATAACGTATTTCTTTTATTCAGCCATTTCTATTCCTGAAACTTGAAAGTTTTTTGAGGCTGCCACTTCTCTACCAATTCTTTTTCTAATTGAGTAACAGGTGTTGATGAATTTAAGATACATATGAATGAAGGTATTTTCTAGGTTTTATTTATTCTGAAACCAGACAGGAGAATATTTTTGCAGTGAAAAGTGCTTCTAAACTGCTTTTTATTGAGTTTTTTCTTTTTCATGTTGGGACAGTTGTTCCTAATACTAACTGAGAAGCATTTGATTCTACAAGAGCTGATGTGAAGCAGGTAACAACTTTATATAAACAAATACAATATTTTGTTTGCTTCTTTGCATGAATCGTAAACAACTACAATTTTGAATTTATTTTATTATTTACTGCTATTACTTCCTTCACATGTGCTATTAGAACTTGTCAAATTATGTTTGTTCTCCAAACTGTGATTTAAATGTAAGACAAGTTCCAATATATTTTGAGATTCCCCTTTGTAATTATTTAAATGGAAATAGCCTTTATCAGTACCACTTTTCAGTATAAGAAAGCCCTTTTGAATTGTACAAAATATGCATAAATATCTTCCTAAATTCTCACTGTTTTCTTTTGAGAAATCACATTAGCATTATTCATTTGAAAACAGATAGAAAAATAGTGTATTCACAAATACAGTAGCCCACCAATGCAAACATGCTGTGTTTTTGCAGCTTCTAACAAGAAGATAACAAGATAAGTTCAAAGCACTTTTTTTTTTATATCCTATGCATCTCATAAGATGTGAGCCATTTCCTGAAAAAAATGTGCCTTTTTTTTTTCTAACTGTGTGGCAGAGGGAGGAGTTTACATAAAGATGTAGTCTCTTGGTAGAATAATAGCTAAATTAAAATTACAGTCCAACTTCCCAGAATAAAAGCTTCTTTTTCTGTCATTACTTTCACCAATAACTATCCATCAAAAATTACTTCAAATAAGACGTTAAAGGAAGTCTGACTGAGAGACTTGTTTAAGCTTTAGCAATCTGCTCCAAACTCATTA